CTGACCTTCCCATCGCACTGCAGAAAAATACGCATGTACCCGGACACCAGGACACCCACATATAAGCCATATTATATGTATGCGTATCCACCTATCAATCAGACTCGTCACGCACGTAACGGGGAAGCGCGTAGCACCAACATAGCCACACACAGCAGCCAGGAGTGCACTACCCCAACCATGCAACGGTCCGATACACCAAACAACATGCGTCCTGCATATACCATACCACCTGAAGTGCGATGTACACCAATCCCACTCAAAATAAATGGGACGAGCACCTCGGAACTGCGCCCAGCATAGGCACACGCAACCCCGACTGCGGCTTACACAGTGAGTCCCCCCCGACGGACACTCACCCTGAACACAACGCCGCTGCTCCTATTTCCGTGTCCACTGACACCCCCAAAAGCAAGGGTGGGTGGGTGGGAAAAAGAAACGCCACAGCAGAAAACAACCCTTGGCCACCACACGCACACGTGCTCTCGCTCGCCCCCGGTAAACACGGCGAAGCGAGTACAGACTGAAAACAGAACACCAACACGCTCGTCCGCTTCCTGCTTTCTGATTGGCCAAGGTTTATTTCTGCCGCTTCTCACAAAACGCAGATTTCCTTTACTTCGTCAGACAATCTTTCGCTTTTCTCGATGCTTTCGAAATTTGTCATTATTATTTTGCGTACCCCCTTTGCTCGCCAAGGGGGAGGGGAAAAGAGCGGAGACCAGGCAGGGCAACACCACACACGCCCCCGGTCTACTCCTTACGATCAGTATAAACATCAGCCACCCAACAGACAGAGACATATAAACTCTGTCTGCCCCCAAACCTAAGGCTGGTGCGCCATACTGATCCCCCCCCCGCCCCCCTTTTATTTTGGCAAACCATGCACAACATATACCATATATGCAAAACATACGATATGTACAACGTCCAATATATGCGGCATACAATATGTACAGCAAAATACCATCGGTACAACAAGGATCTCGACATACACAACGTGCCACGGAACCCCTTCACACGTCACCCCATCGGGTACCTTGCCCTGGCTGTGTAGTCACCTTCTCCTTGTTCGCCAACACCTCTGACACCCACGAAGCGTCACCCCCAACATTCCGAACGTAACACTGGTGACTACTCTCCCCCGACCAACGCCCTTCTCTTCGGAGAACCTCCGGCGAAGCCCCCTCCGCCGCCAAGAAAGTTGCGCCCCCAATTCTCAGGGAGTGCAGCGCGTACTCCTCGGGCTGCAAACCCGCCAACGCAACCACTTGGCGAAGAGCCACAGTAGCTTGACACTTAGTCCACATGGCCCACTGGCCCTGACCAACACCGAAAGCCACGAGAGGCGCATGCGAAGGCAAAAAGGTATACAGAGAAAGCAGCTCCACCATGACATCCACTGCACCACCCCCTCGGTCAACCCCACAGCACGGACCTTGCCGTGTGCGCGTGCAAACCGCCCCCTTCCGAAACTGGTCCCCTTTCGACGAACGAAAACGTACCTCCACGCGATCGGCCAATGGCCACTGCGCCGACTGCAACAGCTGGACCGACCCCCGAAAAAACGCTACGTCCCCCCGACGCAATCCATGAACCTCATGCATAGACAATTTCGACACCGCAAACATCTCGGATGCTCGCGTCAGGAAGAAGAGAGAAGCACTCAGCGCAAGAAACAAAACGCGCCCGCCTACCCCCCATTGCGATACCAGCGAACTCCCCCGTTGCAACATCGCCCAAGACACCGGCCGTCGCAACCGCTGCTGTGTGCCCACGTCGGCATGCCCCCGCGCCGCCCCACGTAAAGCACAACGCACCAGCGGATGCTGCGTATCAAGCTCCCCTTCACCCGACACACGATGGAAGAACTTAATAGCGGACAAATGACTGGCGATCGTCGATTGTTGTAGACCCAAAACGGAAAAACAATACGCGACGTACTCAAGCAATTGAGCAACGACATCACGCGTAACAACCTCGGCAGCAATAAAAACCGGCCGGTTCACCACGATCACACGATATTTCACCCAGGCTCCAAAAAGGCCCAGGTAAGTTCGTTCAGACGTTCGCGCAAGTGACTGGCGGACGAGACTGGCCCCAGTACGGCAGAGCACATCTCTTGCCCGGCTCGATTCAACTCCACTTCCTGCCATCGTACATGGGGGGCAGCGGCACAAAGGTTGTCGTACACATCAGCGGCGGGCCAGCGAGAAATACCATCAGCAAGCGAATTGAGCACACCAGGCACATGGGACGATTGGAAAAGCCACCCGCTAGACACTTCAATCGCCCCCAGCATCCGCATGAGCGCGCCTGACCGCGGCTCCTTGCCTCCGCGACACCGCTCAATCCATGCCACACTCGCTTCATTGTCTCCCCGCAACTGGATACAGTCACCAGCCGACACCGGCACATGACGCTGTTGCACAATCAACACCCATGCCGCCGCGACCATGCCGAGTAGCTCAAGAACATTGATACTGACATCGGCACACTCGGATACAGACTTGCTAGACCCCAAAACGGGACTGCTCGTCACACGTCAGATCACGCCGGAAATAACACCCAGTTTGCACACAGTATGCTCCAAACGCCGTTTTGGAAGCATCGGCAAACACAGCCATTACCGGAGGACGAAGCACCACATTGTACATCGGTGCACACAACTGGCCGCCACGCGACGCCAGACCTCGCTGCGCAAACCAGCGCCAAAAATCCAAATCATCGTGAAACATGGGCCCCAACACGACACGCCGATTGGGGTTAGAAACACGCGAAGGAAACACTTCGGACTGCGGCATGCCGACGTCGGCCAGCAGACAGCCGACGAAAAATTTGCAAGGGTGTGTTTAGTAGAGTAGAGTATTTCGAGTAGAGTATCGACAGTCGTACTAAAGGTTTAGTAGAGTATCGGGAGTAGTACTAAACCTAATAGTAGGTCGAGTAGAGTATCGAGAACTCTACTAAAACTTTAGTAGAGTAGAGTATCGGGAGGAGTACTAAACCTAATAGTAGGTCGAGTAGAGTATCGAGACCTCTACTAAA